CAAATGCCGAACCTGAAGATGACGAACAGGGGGGCTATGCAGGAGAGAAGCAACAGCATGGTGACAATGATAACACAGCGATAATGTATAGTAAGCAAATATGCGCGTTTAAGTTTCTAAAAAAAATATATAATTTTTTATTAAATTTTTTCAGAAGAAAACTTTTCCTCGATTAATGACGTCCCATCCAATAATGCTAATACAGAAAACGTGGCCGCATCATCACACTCCTCAGCAGCAGAGACGCTCTCAACCTGGCCAATAGTCACTTCCGTAAGTGATTTTGCCGACGCTTCACTAAATCTGTCTAATGGCACGGCAAGCGGACACATTCACAACGAAACATTGGTGGTAACTGCAGTAAATGATATTCTTGCACCAAATGCTGATACCTGTGCTGCCCCATCGGGGGTGACCGCGTCTACATCGCCCACCGTTGCCACTAAAGCGCATGCCAAACCAAATATAGTAGTGCTGAATGAGAGTATTGTTAAATCTTTATCGGTATTTCAACTCCACACCTGTCAATGTTGTCAGCTGAAATTCTTTAGTGTGGAGTCCCTAAATCAGCACTATAATGTGGCGCATCAGTCACAGACACCATTGGAAGAAGGATCGCAGTTACGTGCAGAGCAACAAAAACAACAGGGAGAGCATGCACAGCAGCACCAGCAGCTGCAAGTGCGACAGCTTCAGCATCCATATAACCAACAGCAGCAGCAAAATATGTTGACACTTAATAATAATTTTCAACAGCAGCAACAGCAACAACACGGGCAAGCACAATTGCCTATGGTGAGCGTGCCTTCCGATTACTTGTGGAAGCCATATGGTGGCACCTCTGGCGATTTGAGGAATGAGCCGTACAATTTCAATTGTAAAGTGGAAAAGGACTTTCCTTTGACAACTGCGCAGGCAGATATAACTCACAAAGCTGAAGATAATCTTAGTTACCAACAGCCAAATATTTTCGAACAGCCATTTGGTCTCGCCGACTCACATCACACAAAAAATACTTTCATAACACCAAATTCCATTCCCAAAGATGTATCA